GCTGATAGCGCCGCTTTGGTTATGCAGCGATGGGTTTGAATATGGGAAGGGAAAATAAAAATGCAACCGCACGGTCTGGTTTAAAGGAAGATGGATTAAATACGGGAATGTGCCCAATTCCATGGCTTTTCTCCTCAAAGCAGTGCTCCCAGGCCGTGTCTCCCAGCCCTCGCCTTCGGATGCGGCACCTTCACCCCAAACGCCCCGCAGCCAGCGCGCAAGGCAGGATGCACCCCAGAAGCCTTGCGTGGAGCAGATCTTTAATTTAATTTAATTCACTGTCAAATTGGTGGCATCACTGCGCTGATTTGGGGCAGTCGGTGCCAAAATTGATGCCGCCGGCATCCGAAAATGAGCAGCAGCAGCGGGAAGGAGCCCGGGGCCAGCCCTGCTGGGGGCTTGCGAAATTCCCAGCGGCTTCCATCAGCCCTTCACGGGGGGGGGAAGCTTCTCGGAAATTATACAAGGAAAAAAAAAAAGAAAGAGAAGAATGGCTTTTTGCTGCAAGAAGCGGCCCAAATTGTTACGCCACAGTCCTGAGCCTGGGGTCCTGGCTCGCTGCTCCCTCCCAGCCCTGCTGGCCGGCCCTAATTAGCGCTAACGAGGCACCCGAGGACCCAAGAGGAGGTGCAGGCACCACGGAGCCGAACCCTGGCTGGGGACAGGGGCAGCTTTTGCACCACTTTAGGATTTCCAGGGGTGAAAATCAGGCCACAAACCCCTCACACCTCCAGGAAAGCAACAGCTTGGCTCGTTCAGCTGGAGACGGAGCAGGTAAAACAGAGCTGGGACATCACAGGTGGCTCCAGCACGTGCCCATAAAGCCCAAAAAGCAGTCGGAAGGTTATGGGGTTTGCTATGGGGTTGTGCCATCCCCTGGTGCTGCTTTTCTATTAAAACTCGCCGCAGTAATTGGCATTTTTGGGCGCCAGGCACGGGCTGCAGCTCACAGCATGGCGCAGCCGTGCTCCGTGCGTCTTCTCACCGCCACAATCTGCCCCAAAAAATCTCTGGGTTTGCTAAATCCCCCCACCCCCTGCCGTGCCGTTTGGCTGACACCATCCCCACGGGGAGCAGCCCCCAGCTGCGGCTCCATCACCCCAAAAAGGGGTCTCTGGGGGGGCAGAACTTGGGTCCCCGTGGGGACCAGCACCGCAGGGGCTGGCACGCTTCGTCTCCATCCTTCTGCCAGTGCCTGGGGGGGGGACACAGCCCCCACGGCACCAACCCCCGTGGCGGAGCAGACCCATAAAGGCCGGGGCTGGAACAATAGCCCCCTGGAAGCCCCGAGACGTGGAACATCTGCAAACGATTGAGCCGAGCGCGCCGGGGCTGTGGGGTTCCTGCAAGATTTGTTTCCATCTTCGCCGTCCCGGCCCGAGACGCCGCGTTTCCCCCGTGCCTTGCGGGGCTTTTTTGGGTTTTGTGCTCGCTTCGTCCACGCCGTGCATGAGAACTCGGTGCCGTGCAGATGCCAGGACACCTCCGAAACGACTCGGAAACACGCAGGGGAAAAAGGGGAGGGGGAGACAGTGTGCGCCAGGAGGGCTTGGACCCCACGTGGCGGCCAAGAACAGAAGCTCATTGCTCCAACATCAGCCCGTGGAGCTCGGAGAGCTGAGCCCCAGCAGCCAGGAAGCCAGCTGGCTCAGCTTATAGGGCAGCAGCGCTCCCAGACCCCATTAAACGGGCGCGTTTCCATCGGAGGTGGGAACTCATCGCCTGCTCCGCTGCCTCCCCGAGGGCGAGCGGCTTTGGCGCCTGCACAGCCACCTCCCCGGCCACACCTGAGGTTTTTTTTTTTTTTCCCCTCTGCACCGCCCCGTGCTCGCCCATCCTGGTTCCCCCACCCCCTATGGCTTTTGTCAGCCCAGCTGCAGCCCCAATCCCTTCGGGTGCTCGCTGTAGGACGAGGCGAGGCGCGGCACGGCCGATGATTTCACGCGCAGCAACCCTGGAGACAGCAAATGTTGTGGCAACTGCATCAACACCCCGCGCAGGGCAGCCTCGCTGAGCCGGGAGGGGTTTTTTTGGGTTGTTTTCCCCCCCTTTTCTTGCTCCCATCCTTCGGGCAGATGTTAGCATTTTGTCCTTTCCGAGGATTTTTCACCCTTGATTGCCTTTCCCCGTCTTAAACGGGGTTGGAATCCAGGGGTAACGCGCTGCCATCACCCCCGAGCTGTGGCTCAGAGCATCCTGCGGTGCTCAAGGAGACTCCGGGGTTTTATGGGGGAGACTCTGGGGTTTTATGGGGGTCCCCGGGGCCCCCCCGGCCCCCTACCTTGGGGTCCATGCGCAGGAAGGTGTGCGGGCCCCGGCTGCTCAGCGTCGAGCGCTTGAACGTCTTGCTGTGGTGGAAGTGGTAGTAGTTCTCCAAGCTCCCGATCTGGAAGAGATTTGTTTTACCAGGGGAGGTGGGCACAAGGCTGATACCTTTTCTTCACAGATTCGGGAAGCCCCACGCTCCCCTGATAACTTTTTGTCCCTATTTTGGGGACAAAGGGCCCCCAATTTTGCAGGAAAATGCGGCACCACCCTGTGGGCACAGGGATGGGGTGACCCCAAAGCTGGGACGTGCAGGGCTGTGCCAGGCGCCTGCAGCGCCGTAGGGTTTCCTTCCATCCCCTGGGGGTTGGAAATTGGTGCAAAAAGCAAAAAAATAAATAAAAAAATCCCACCCTGCAGCAAAGAGCAGTTGCAAAATAACCCCGCTGCCGGCTCCCAGGGGGTTGTCACCACCCCTCTGGCATCCCATCTGCGTCCCCAAGAGCCACCCCGTGCTGGAGCTGGGCACCGCAGGGACCGGGGGGAGCTGTCCTCACGTCCCCGTGTCCCCAAATCCCAGGCAGAGCCAGGCAGACAGGGGCTGCTTCCACGTTCAGCGCCCTTTACAGCTCCGCTTTGCAGCCCCACTCCGTGCACTCGGGAAGGTGCAGGAGGAGTCTCAAAACTGCCCAGATTTTGGGGAAGCTCAGATGCTCCTGTTCCCCTGCTCCTGTTCCCTCATTCTTTGGGGATTTATTGAAGGAAAAGTGAAAAAAAATCTTGTCCAGGGGGAGCTAAGTGGAGAGGAGGAGGGAGGGAGGTTGGGCCTGGGGACCTCCGTGGGCACCCTTCAATGTAAGATAACCTAAGGAGGAAAGCTTAAAAATGGGATTTCCACCTAAAAAAAAACTAAAAGTGATGGAGGCTGATCCCTTCTGGCTCGCTGGATGAGCACGGGCACCCTCCAGCTCCCTCCTGGCAGCCCAGCACCCCAAAAGGCTTCAAAGTTCCCTGGGGAAGGGTGGACCGGAGACCCCTCCCGATGGGATCACCCCACGAATTTCATTCCCAATGCTAAGAAGCGATTCGGCCACAAGGGAAGCGCTTTTCGGGAGCTGTGCACCACCGAGTTCAGCACCAGAGCTGGGCAGAGCGTTTTGGGGCCAGCTGCTCCCCTCCCACCACCGGGCAGGTCCTCGGGCACATCCCCGGGGACAGATCCAGTGAGGGTCCCCAGTGGGGGTCCCCTGCCTGCTCGTGCCATGGGGACTTGGTCTGCTCCCCCCAGGGTCCCAGCTGCTGCTTTCTGCCTTCAGCAGCCCCAAGTGGTTGGATTCAAGCCTGGAGCGATCCCACTGAGAGCCAGCACCCCCCAGATGACAAAAATTCAGCAAAACCCCAAATCCATCCCCAAACAAGCCCTGCCATGGGCACCCACATCCAGGACTGCCATATACATGGGAAACCTTCACGACTCACTCTGCTGGCCACTGAACAAGTTAAAAACGGGGCAAATCCCTGTGGGGACAGGGACAGGGCCAGGCTGTGCCCCCCGGGACGCAGACACCCGGCCCCTCGCAGCGCCCTGGGCCTGCCCCAGCTCGCCCCAGGAGATGGAGGCGAACAAAGGGCTGGGAGCAAGCAGGGGGTGTCGGGGGGTGTGTGAGGTACCCCTCCTGCTGCTGGGCTGTTGGCTGCTCTTATAGAAAAGCCCAACAAGCGATGTGATCCCCCAGCACAACGCCAGTGAGGTGACCGAGGGCTTTAGGGCGCCTTTGGGTATGGGGACACGCAGGGGGGACCTGGTTTTGGCACAGGCAGCACCCAACGCGGGCACCTTGGGGAGCCAAAAACAACCCCGAGGTGGCAATTCCCAGCCGGGGGGCTGCAGGGCAAGGTCCCCCATGGCATTGGGGTTGTCCCCAGGGAGATCCCGGAGAAGGGTTGGGGACGGAGAGCGGCCGAGGGGAAGCCCCCGAGGTGCTCGGGGGAGGCTGCGCCAGGATCACCCTGATGCAAGCGCAGAAATATTTCCCTTGGTCCGCAGCCTGCTGGGGCAGAGGGAGGGACACGGCCACGGGACGCCGGCGTGTGGGGTCAGGGGATGCTCCTGCAGCCACCGAGACGGCGAAACCCCAAAGCTGGGCTGGGGTTGGGCTGCTGGGAGCCGGGACAAGGGGGACGCGCGCCCCAGGCAGCCCCATGGCGGAGCGGTAATTAGCGCCCAGCCAGTAATTAAAGCCGGGGCTCTCCCAGGAGGTAAAGCTGGGGAGGAAGCAGTGCAGGTAGGGGGCACAGGGGGGGGTGCTGGCCCTATTCTTTGCCCCCCCAATTTGCCCCCCCCCTTTCACGGCAGCCCCCTGGCACTCAGTACCCATCCCAATAGGGCTGGGACAGGGACAAGGTCGGACTTTCCACCCTAGGAGACACCTCCAAGCGGGGTGCGGGGGGTCACCCCAAAACCCCACAAACCCCACAATCAGAGTAAAAACCACAAACTTAAAAGAAAAAAAAAAAAAACAAACCCACCCATAACAGGGGGGGAGGCAGCAGCACCCCCCCCGCGCCCCGCAGCTCTCCCCCAACCGCCGCAAACTTTCCCAAACCCTTCGACCCCCCCAAACCGAGACCCCACAACCCAAAAAGCTCCCCCAAAACCTCCCCCCTTTACCTGCCCCAGGCTGCGGTACCCGTAGGCGGCGGCCAAGCGGGCGGCTTCGGCGGGGCCCCCCCGCACCCTGACGGCCCAGTGGTTGGTATAGACGGGGCGGGGGGGGTCGGCAGCCACCCCCCGGGCACCCAGGGCCAGGGAGAGGGCCAGGAGGCAGAGGAGAGATGAAGAAGAGGAGGAAGAAGAGGAGGCAGCAGCGGGCATGGTGCGCGCCGCGGGGCCGAGCTGGGCGGAGCGGGGAGCGGCGGCTTTTAAAGCGGCCCCCGGAGCACGGCGGGGGCGGGGGGATGCTCCGGGAGGGGTGGGGAGGGACCGAAGGGGGGTTTGGAGGGGGTTTGGGGGGGGGTTGGGGGGGGGTTTGGGGGGGTGGGGATCCGCGGCGCCCTGTGGCTGGGTGCTGGGGGGGGCTCTGGGGGGACCCACCGCGGGTCCAGGACGCACGGGGATACCCCCCTGTGTACCCGGGGATCCCCCCCCTTCGGGGTCCTGTACCCCCAGATATCCCCCCCATACCCCCAAATATTCCCAAGTGCCCTCGGGTATCCCCCCCCATCCCATACCCCCGGGTATCCCCCCCTTGGGGTCCCATACCCCCAGATATCCCCCCATACCCTTGGGTATCCCCCCCCATCCCATACCCCCAGATATCCCCCCCCTCAGTCCCATACCCCCAGGTACCCCCCCGGTACCCCTGGGTATCTCCTCTCTGCTGTCCCCCCCCTTTTTCCCCCTAAATCACCCCCCCATGTGCACCCTTCCTACACCCCCTGTGCACCCCCAGCCCTGAGCAGCCCCCAAATGCCCCCCCCAGCAGCCCTCCCCACACCCCCCTTAAGCACTGCACCCCAAAACCTCCCTTCACCCCCCCTCCTGTGTACCCCCAGACCCCCCCTGCATCCTGTGCCCCCCCCCAGCACTGCCCAGCCCCCCTGGCAGCCCCCCCAGCCAAAACACTGCCAGCCCCAGGGGGCTTCAGGAGGGGTTTGGAGGGGACCAAGGGGGGGCTGGATGCTGGGGAGCCCCCCGGGGGGGTTCAGTCTTTACGCAGAGGCCAGCCTGGGTGGGGGGGCTCTGTCCTTGGTGTCCTGGCTGGCCGGTGAGCCCCCCACCCCCCCAATTTTCGGCACCCAGCCTGCCAGGTCGTGGTGAACCTGACCTTAGCGCTCGATAAATCGGCCACGGGTGAACTTCGGCCAGCTCGGGAGCTGCCCCCGGGGGAGCTGCCCCACACCACAGCGGGGTTTGAGCTCTCTCTGCCTGGCCCCGTGCCCTAAAAACAGAGCCACTGCCGTCACCAGGTGCCCTTAACCAATTTAAGGGGGATTTATGGGGTTTCTGTTCCGCACCACGGGGCCCAAACCATCCCCTTTGCACCCTCGAGGGGAAATTAAATCCGTGTTAGCCGCAGAGGCAGCGCTGCTGAGGAACAGCTTTTGGTTTCCAACAAAAAATATGGGTTATGAACCACTCGCATCCCTGCTTTATGGGTTTTTCCTCGAGTTTCCCTGTTCGTAGGGCGATGGACAGAGCTGGTGGGCGCTGTGCGTGCAGAAAAGTTGTTGGAGCCCAGCAGGAGGGGAGGAGAAGGTGGCTTGGCACTGCTGGCCGGAGCTGGTGCCCACGGGTGCCCCCCTCTCACCGCCGTGATTTCACCATTCACCGCTTGCGCCCTGCCGATTTTTCACCCCAAAAGTGGAAAAGCTGGGGGAAAAGGGCTTCAGCTGGAAGAGCAGCGGCTTTGCTCCGCTCCGCGTGCCAGCCAGGGAGGCGCCGGGTGCTGGCTGACCCCGGTGCTGCCCGCGAGGCAGACTTTGGCCCCGCGCGCTCTGCGTCGTGGTGCGCCGGGGCAGAGCCTTCCCCTTAACTCTTTTCCATGCTGACTCCCAGCCCGGCGAGACGCAGGCGAGGCAATCGAGCCCATCAGAGCAGAGATTACGGCAGGGATGGGGTCCAACCCCGGTTATCTGCTTGCTGTGCCCGCTCCCGGTGCGCTGGGATGCGCAGCGAGGCCGCCGGGACGCGGCCAAACCCCGTTTGCGTGCGGGGCGCTGAGAAGGATCGTGCCTTCATGCGAGCCCTGCACCTGGAAATAGCTTTTTCTGTAGCTCCCAGGCTTAACCAAATGAGGGAAAATTGGGCTGGTGTAATTAAAGCAGTGTGGTTCCCGATCCTGGCTGCACTCGGGAGTTGTTCTGCAGCTCGGCTTTGGTGAAAAATCCCCGGCTGGCTCTGGCCGCTCGCCACAGGGATGCCCACGGTCAGCCTGGTGCAGCTCCCACCCCATTCGGAGCAGATGTTCCGCGTTCAGTCCTGCTCGTGGAAAAATCCCGTGCGGCAAGGAGCTACCTGCGCAGCCCCACAGCCCAAAAATGAGGATCTGCAGCCCCCCTGGAGCTGCACCCCCACGGCTGATGGCTCGCGTAAGGGAGCGGGCGCTGTCGGTGCTGCCGCTGCTCGCAAACCACAGCTCCGAGCCTGCGCCTTGGGACCTTCCTGGGTGGATTTCCAGGAAATTTGTGCTTGACGGAGAAATGCTGCACCTGCCTCTTGCGCCCCGGCACTTCTGGGGGAGATTTGGAGGAAAAAGGTGCTGGGAGAGAGCTCCCATCAAGGGTGGAAGAACCCCGAATCACCCAAGGAGGGATGTGCTGATGGTTTTTCCGCCATCCTGCAGCTCTCCCGGCCATCAGAAGCTGGAGACGGCAGCAAAAAAAGATTTAAATTGGGTATTAGAGAGGCAGCACTGACGGCAGCCCGGCCAAGGTGTGGGCACATTTGGATGCTGTGCTGCTCCAGGTGGGGCTGGAGGTTGGCAGCAGGCTCCTTCTGCTCTGGGTTTCTGTAATTTGAGGGAAATTTGCAGTGTTTTCTATCATCTGGTGCGCTCCTCCTCTCCAGAAAGATTAAATCTCCATCATCAGGAGCCGGCGTGGCGGGTGAGAAGATTTCCCAGACTAGTCAAAGTGTCATCCTGGTAAAAATGCCAGTAATAAAAAATAAAAGGAAAGGGCCCACTATGGACTCAGGCCTGTAAAAAAAACCTCCGAAAGATGGATCTGGAAGTTTAAAAACAATTTTCGGCACCGAAGCTCAGCTGCTAACGGCTGCTCCAGGGATGGAGAGGCCCAGCGCAGACATTTGTGGTGTGGGGAAAATTGATCAATTAAAAAAAAATCAACCAATGTGCCTGGTCTTGAATTAAAAAAAAAAAAAAAAAAAAGGGAAAGAAACCAGATGTTTTTACCCGTCTCGGATTGCTTTTGGTTTTATTGCTGTTTAAGAAATGAGGGGGATGAAGGAGATGCCCGAGCGGGGCTTGGGGGGGGGGTGCTCCAGCCCCTTGCTGCGTCCCCAGGGAGCGTCCTCAGCTCCGAGCCCCCCTGGGGACACCCAGCCGAGCCCCACCACGTCCCAGAGCAGCGTCCCAGCACAGGAGCTGGCACTGGTGCCAAGAGGGAGCTTGTAATAAAGCCAGGACAAAGCCAACCCCACCCACTGGAATAGCAGGTCTGGCCAAGGCTGGTTTACGCGGGCGCCGGGCAGGGGCCGTGCCATCGCCGCACGGAGGAGGATATTTCGGGTCCCCCCCTCCCCTGGCCGGAGCCACACGTCTCTCGCTGTTATTATGTCTGTCCCCAAGGGCTAAAATGTCTGTCCCAGGGCTAAAATTGGGCCCCCGCGCAGCGGCGTCGGGGCTCTCCGAGCGCTGCCCACGTGGCCAAGAAGGATCTGAGTCACCGGGCAGGGACGGCCGCCCGCTCCTCGCCCCGGGGGCTTTTGCAAAGCAAATTGCAACTCCTCTGCCGTGTCCCCTGGTGGGTGACATCCCCCCGGACCCGCTGTGACCGATGTGGGAGGCCCCCACGGTGTTTTCACGCCCGGGTTCAGCAGATGTGGTGGCGGCAGAGCGGGCACCGGGAGCACGAACGTGCGGGGTGAGAGGCGAGCCGGGGGGTGGAGAGATGCCGAGATCAAAACAAAAGCGATTTCAGAATAAAATCCAACAGCCAAGGGAAAACACGGCGTGTCCCTGCCAAGACTATCATTTATGCCAATTAAAAAACAAACAACAAAAAAATTATTGGCATGGCAATAAGGAGAGCAGCGTGGTATTTCCTGAAAAGGGTGTGGGGAGCATCCTTGGAAAGTCTTCCCTGCACAATGTGCTTGCTGTTTCCAGAAAAATAAAGTTTGCCCTGACCCACCTGTCCCCCAGAAGCGACTATTTAGGGCTGTAACATGGTCCTTGTTTCAGCCGGGCCGAGGAGAACAAATGTCACTGGCTGAACCTGTCTCACGGCACGGCAATTGGCAACTTTTCCCAGCCCTGAGGTCTGGGTATTTACCTGCAGTCCCGTAATTGCTGTGAAACTTGAAAAAAAAAAAGCACTCTGCCCCTAGGGCTGGGCTGCAGCAGCCCATCTGAGGTTGGGGGAGAGCTGGTCACGCGTGTTCCCACAACCCCAGAAAGCCGGGGCTGGGACACGCTCCCCAGCGGGGCGTGGGGACGTGCTCCGGGCTCACCCAGGGCGTATCCGGAGGTTTCGGCGGCGCAGCAGGGACTGCCAAAGCCCAGCCTCCAGGAGCTAGTACCTTTTGCACAGCACTTGAAGGGGGAGCACGGAAAACAAACAAAAGCCCACAGATTTTTTTTTGCTTTCCTCCTGATCCTGCCCATCCCTCCCAGGAGCTGCAGCCAGGCGGTGTTTGCGCCATGAGACCCGGCGCTGCCGGAGGACGCGGGGCGATGCCGAAGAGAAGCAGCTCCACCTAGGCAAGCGCTGCTGCTACCGCAGAGCCGTGCTGCCGTGCTGCTGGATCAGCCATCGGACATCCAACATCAGCCACCCAACTTCACCCGTTCATCACCAAACGTCAGATATTGGCCATCAACCATTGACCATCAACCATTGACCGTCAACCATTGACCGTCAACCATTGACCGTCAACCATCAGCCATTGACTGTCAACCATCACCCAGTGACCACCAACCATCGACCATCAACCATTGGCCATTGATTATCAACACTGGACCATCAACCGTGGACCATTGACTATCGAGCATGGGCCATCAACCATCGATCACTGGCCATCGACCACCGCCCCATCCGGCTGGCCCCGTGGGCTTCTCCCGGTGTCGTCTGGTTCAAGCTGCAGCCTGGTTTCAAAGTGCAATGGCTGATTTAGGGCTAATTTCAAAGTTTTCTTCTCACCACAGAAAAATGACACCTTCAAAATGTTCATTTTCTGCCCCAACAAGGCCGGCAAATTGGGCGGCAATGTCTGTTTTCAGCCAGGCGCCGCTTGCAAGGACACACCGAGAGCATCGGGAGGGCAAATCCTGTAGGAAACAAAATTCAGCAGCAATAAAAAGCAGTCTCAAGTGGGAAAAAAAACCCTTGACGGGCTTCGAAATTGCTTAATGACAGTGGTGTAAGGCACAGCAGAGCCCTGGACGTGTCTGGATTAGCCCCACAGAAATTTGCGTCGGCAACTGGTGGTAAATTCGGGCTTCCCCACAGGAGACAGCAGCGAGACGCTCACCTGGGCACATGTTGAAAGCTGCTTATTAGTCCTCATCAAGGCTAATTAGGCTCCAAATCGGAATCAGATGTCCAACAGAATGTTAAACAGCCATTAGCACTTTTAGACAAGGAGAGAAAAAAAAAAAAAAAGAAAAAGAGAAATGCAGAGCAACATTTATTGAGTGCCAGCCAGGCTCCGCGTGTTCGGATTGATGCTGCCGTACGGGGGGCTGCGACTTCTTAACGGCTTTGCCAATTAAATCACTATTACTGACCAATTAAGCAGAAATCAGCCTGGTTTTAAGTGATATCTGATGAAGCTGGTCCTGCAGCTCCAACAAACAAGGGGAAGGAGCAGTTTCTGGCTGCCGGCCCCACAGGGATGCTGGGGAAAGCTTTCTGCCCACCCTCCCCACCAAAACTCCTCATTTTTATTTTTCCAGGGGGAAACACACCCAAAACCAAGAGGGACGTGGCAAAACCTTTTGGGGCCAGCATGGAAATGGGCAGGAAATGAGGGGAAATGGGGAAATGGGACGCTCTGGGGGGGCGGCCTCACCCCTGGCCCCCTCGGCAGGTTGCTGCCATCGTGCGCAGCCGGGGCCGGGCGCTCGCAGCCTTTTCCAAATATTATCCTACTGCTTTCTTTCAGCCTGCAGATAAATGGGCCTCTTCAGCGGGCATTGAGCTCGCTCTGTTCCAACGTTTTCTTTAGGGCGGCAGAGGGAAAGTTTGGATTACGCCGAGCTACTGAATCCGGCTTTTATGGGTGAGCTGCGAGGGGGGTTCTGCCAAGCGAAAATAGGGCCAGTGTGCTTTTTTTATTATTTTTTTTTTCTGGTTTCATTCTGAAATAGGGAGGAGCCCACACTGCACCTTCATCGCCTGGGTTTTACCTCCTGTCCCGTGCCTGGGCTGCTCGGCATCGCTGTACTTGGCATTTCCAGCTCTGCTCAGAGAGGGTCCTTTGGATCCTCTATCCAAAAGGTGCTTCCTCCACAGCCTTAATAGGTTTCTGAAGTTAAATAACACAAATAAAACCATAAAAATTTCAAACCAAACCTAAAAAAGAAACACCAAAAGCCAAAAAAAAAGCCCCCACCTGAATCACGAGTAGGAATGGGGAATAGGGGCTGGGTGGGAGCAGCAAAGCCCCAGCACCCAGCAGAGCCCCTGGGGGCTGCGGGGCCAAGGAAATTGTGACACAATGGCCCAGGGGGCGGTGGAACTGGAGGCAGGACAAGAATGAGCCAAATTTGGGAACAATTCTCTGCAAGGACTGCGAAAGGAGCCCCTCTAGGGCTGGATGAAGGGACCCGGGGAGGCTCCTCCTAACCCGAATTACTCCGTGGCTCAGCCACCAGCAGGGAGGGCGCAGGGCGATGGCGCAAGCCCGGCCTCTCCCCAGAGATGGAGGGGGGGCAATTAGTGGAAGGAAAATGAGGAGATGCCGGCTGTGGCTCTGGGAATCCGCAGCCTGCTATCACCTGGAGGGGAGCATCGCTAAAGGCTTGTCCTGGCCTCGTACGCTGCCCTAAATGTCTCCAAGAGGGATTTTTGGAGCCTGGGTGGGCTGAGGGGTGCTGGGTGCACCCCGGGGGGCGCATCCTGCCCGGGGGGAGCCGCAGCTCCAGCAGCTGCGCTCGGCGGGCGCTAGGTGGGGATGGCAGCACGCACACAGCGGGCTGTGGTCCCGGACAGCAGCAGCAGGAGGAGGAGGAGGAGGAGGAAGATCGAGGGTTGGAGACCTCCGGGGCTGCTGCTGGAGGCTCTCACCTCGGTGGGCTCCGAGGGCGCAGAGGGTCCCGGCCAAAACACGGGCACCGTGTGCTCGGTTAGGTTCAGCTCGCCCTGCCTGAGCATCGCCAGCTGCTGCAGCCCAGGGGGACCCAAAAAATATCTGCAATTTGGGTGTTTTGTCCTGTTAACCGGGAGCATTTGCCCTCCCAAAGAGCTCCCCCCGAGGGGATGCTGCCTGGTGCCCAGGTGTGCGCATTGCTCAGGCGCTGCCACCCGAACAGGGAGGGGAGATTTTGGGGTGTTTATCGGCAGACACCAGCCACAAACAGCACCAGGGGGGGATTCACACACTGCAAAAAAAGGGGGAAAACACCACAGAAAAAGGGAAAACAGTCCTGTGTTGGATGGCGAGAGCCTTGGCCAGGCTGCAGAAAGGCATTTACAAATGTCACTGGAGTTATTGAGTCAGCCCGCACGGCCAGGGGATGCTAAATGCACTTTCATCATCTGGAAGGGGGAAAATGGCCCAATTCCAGGTGGAGCAGAAACTAATTTGCAAAGTTCACAGCCCCAGGGCTTCGCAACCTTTCCTGTGACAAACGGCCGGAGCTGGCTGATGGCTCCTGCGGGCCTGATCCTGCTGGGGAGCTCGTGGTGTTTCGGGGGGTGAGGGCAGGGACGGGGCTTCTCTCTCTGTGCATGCAGCATGCCCCAGCCAGGGGCAAAGAGGAGAGTATTTCTACCCCAAAATATAGCCAAAACGGTGGTGCAGCCCTGGAAAATGGGGGTTGCTTGGGGACGCAGCGCCCCGCTGGGTCTGTACGTGCCGGTGGCAGCTCGGCTGGATGCTGCCTCCCACCCCAGCACCGAGGCTGCCACCAGCCAGGAGCACCTCACCGCCACGGAGGTAATGAGATTCCACGTTTATTACCAGCATTAATTACGTTGTGCAATTCCAGAAGGGAAGCATTGCCCACTGATGCTTCTCAGCCAAACCTCCTCCTGTGGCCACAGCGCATTTTGTCTCCAAGCCGTGGTGAGGCTGCAATTCAGGCAGCCCTCTGAGAGCCCTCCGGCCTCGACACCAACAGAGGGCGAAGTTTTGGGGCACCAAATGTTAGCACTCGCTGTGTGCCCTGCATCCCTGAATCCCTATATCCCTGTATCCCTTTATCCCTATGTCCCTGCATCCCTACATCCCTGTATGTGCCACCTGCTCGGCCACGTGCAAGCCCTCCAAAGCCCATCCCGGGCACAATGGGCAAACACGAGAAGTCCTTCATGTGGAAGAATTTACTTGCCAGCACTCACTGTAAATCCCTCCTTAAGCTGCTTGATCCCAACCTGCTTCCCAAGCCGACCCAAAATCAGAGCGAGGCCCTAAGCTGCTCTGATCCGTGCCAGCCCGGCGATGTTTCTGGGGTCCTGAAAACCAAGTGCCTCAGGAATACCCAACCCTTCCTCTAGAAGGTTTTTAAGGAAAGATGAGGTTTTATTTTTTATCTGGAAATAGATTTTATTTTATTTAAGTTTTAAAAAGGGGCTAATTGGCCCCACAAACACAAACTTTGCATTTCTTTTCAAACTATTCTGAGCTGGTCTAAAACCAGAAGGCTTGGGGGATTTTTTTATCATGCTGTCTCCCGCTATTTCCTTCAATCTGAACTGATTTATCTCACTTTTCCTCCTGTTTCTATCTTTCAGATCAGCCCCCAGATGAAAAATCCCCCTCTCACCCCACAGCACGTGGGTTTCCCGGGCTGGTGCCGGCAGCGTGCAGGATGCGGCCACCCTGCGTGCTCACCACAAGGCAAACCAGACCTGCCCCAAGAGAGCTTCTCACGAAGCTCCCTGCAAACCCAACCAGAAATGAGTGCCTCCGCCTCCAACAGCCCCATTTTGCCAGCTAAATCCCTTCGCCACCAAAAAAAAAAAACCAGTAAAACTCGGCAGCAGCTGGCGAGGTGGTGCGCTGACTTACCAGTGAGTCCCCAAACACAACGCCTGGGATGCCACGTTCCCAATTTCATAGAACTGTAATTTAAGAAAAAAATAATAATAAAAAAACAACAACCACCAACTATTTGCATTTTGAAATCAATTTTTCCTTTGTGAAGTTTGAGGGAGCCCCGAAGGCAGCACGTGGCGATTTGGGGCCATTCAGGCTTTGATTTTCTGGGGCTTTTTCCCGACACGCAGTGGTTTGCAGGGCCGTGCTGTACTCAGCTTTCACCATTTAGGATTTCAGTGCAGTTGACAGCTCTGATTACAGTCCGTGAGCTGCAAGGCTACGCCGAGAAACCATCCTCGACCGCCGCAGGACCAAAATCCCCAAATCTCCCTTCCCTGTCCCCACTGCCGAGGAGCCACGGCAGCATCTGCAGGGGATTAGAGCCTCCCTCGTTCCCAGCCTCAATTTATTCCTGTCCGGTTGTTCTGGCCCCATTTGTTCTGGTGCCAACATTGTCTTCCAGCCCCGCTAGCTCGTCTCCCTTCCTGGTGCTTCCCCTTGATGTATTAATAGCGGGCCAGCAGCTCTTTGTTCCGCACGCCCGACGCACGCCGCGAGGGGGGATTTCGCTTTTTAGACCAGGGGATGAGGAAAGAAAGGGCGGCCAGCTGAGCCCGGGCTGAGCCGCCTCAGCTCCCCGGGGAGCTCCCACCAGGGGCTGGATTCAGCAGGCACCGAGGTTCAGGAGAAGCCCCCAGCTCGGTGGCACCGCCGTGCCAAAACAGCCCCCAAAACAAGGGGAGCAGCGAGGAGAAATCTCCTGGCATCCTGTTCGCCCCCAAGGCTGGGGTGCCAATGTCACTGGGTTGCTCGGTACACTGCCCATAGCTGTGTTCAGGTTGTTGCTTAATTTTGGCTTTTTTCCCTTTCTTTTTTTACCCCAAAGCCCACAGCACATCTCCCCAAACTCACGTTCACAGCGGAGGCGGTGGCTGCGGTTCACCAGCAGGGTCTGTGCCTTCGAACGGGGGGCGCGCGGCATTGCTGAGCAGCACCTGGCAGGAGCATCAATCAGGACATCGATTGGAGCATAAAATATGGATTTACCCCCTTCTGCCACTTCCCTGCATTCCCCATGTGCTCATCCAAAAGGGTTTCAGACACCCGCAGAGGCTGGGCACACACAGAGGCCGTGCAGGTTTTACACTTCTGGTGGGGTTCCCCAAAAAAATGGTGGCCACTAAGAAATCCTACAAATATATAAAATACAATGTCATTATCTGCCACCAGCCCGGGAGCACCAACCTCCCTCCAGCCCCGCTGCAGCCTCCCCCTTAATGGGGAGGCGAGGAGTGAGCAGGAGAGAGGGCGGCCACGGTTTTGGGGTCTCCCTGTCCAGGCAGAGCCCCAAAGGCAGCCTGGCTTTGCAGCCCAGCAAGCGCTGACACCAAGAATCACAGTGTGTTTACATCCCAGCTTCCAGCCAAAGGAGCAGAGGGGGGGTTATTTGGGGTGTTTTTTGGTCATTGACTGCTGGAAACATCCCCAAAGGCCAGGAACAGTGCAGAGCCCATGGAAGGCAGAGGGGAGACAGCACCAGGGGCACGCCGAGCGCTGCGGGACGGGTGCAGGATGATGGGTGTGGGGCGATGCTCCAAGCCCATTACATGGAAATCGGTTTCGATCAGCAGAAATCATCCCTTGCTGTGAAAGGCCTGGGGGTGCTGAGCAGCGGGTGCTGGGACAGCTCTTCCAAGCCACCTCTGGGCCCAGACCTGGTCCCCTTCACCTAGAGAAGCCAACCAAAGCCAACCAAAAGCCATCTCCATTTGGACAATTTAAGACAACCGAAGGCGTCCCCATTTTGCCCCGGCAAGCCACCTCCTTTCCCACAGCAGGGAGACGTGGAGGTGCTGCAGGACCCCAAATGCCATCACCCTGCAGCAGGGAAGTGCCCATGTGTGTGGCCAGGAGGGGTTAAAGTCCAGGGCTTGGTTACAAACAGAGGTCCTTGCGCCATGACTCACCAGCACGAGCTCCTCGTGCCACGTGCGGCTCCGTCCCGCTCGTCCCAGCAGCACCACGCTGCTTCTTGTCAATGAATGCGATGCTGGGTGGGCTCCTGCCCCCGTGCTGTCATCAGACGGCATTTCTGGACCAGCCTCCACCTTCTCACACGACCAGCATCTTCCTCACCTTCCTCTCGTGGACTGCAGCTCCTCCCGGGGACGAGGGGAGCGCGATGCTCTCCGTGCGCTCGCGGCAGCTGATAAACCACAGCGCCGCGGCCGTCCCCGTGCACACGCCCTCACATGCACGGTGACTGCATGCTAAAAATATTCTTCACTTTTTCGCCGATTAAAATTTTCCGGGAGAGTCAGAAGCACGGCCTACAGCCTCTCTGCCCTGCCAGATGTTTCCCCTCGTGCCTGGGATTTTTTTTTTTATCGCTTCAGAGCCTTGCTGCAATACCACCTATCCCATCCGAGAGCTGGGAAAACTTAAACCAAGAGCAAACGTTTTTAAAGCCAACCCTAAAGCTGCTCTTGGGCAGCACAAAGCTGTCCCCAGCACGGCCACGGCTCCGAATTTCTGCCTGGGGGTCCTGGTCCCACCTTTCCGAGGTGCCTGGCATGGGATAGGGGTGAGGAAACCGAAGGGCTCGGGTGCTCACAACCCAGCAGCTGCTTGCCCAGCACCACATCGGCGCTTTCTGGGCCCGATGCTGCTGCCAGCAGTGGCAGGAGGGGCAGCGAGGCCGCCGAAAGTGTTTACGCAGCAGAGGTATCGCCTCGGCGAGACCGGCGCCTCTGCCAAAGCCACGGCTGAGCTGATGGGGAGGAGGTGCCGCCAGGGTGTTCCTCTCCCGTGACCACTAATAGCTGTTTGTGCGCTCCCAGCTCCGGTCCCGGGTCCGACCCCGTACAAGTGGAGCACACGGGGGCCCCGCCGTACCCTCTCCATCTCCCCTTTGCTTTTCCCAGCGCCGTTCAGCCCTCCGACACAACCCTCGCCCATCGCAGGCAGGTGCAACGTGCAGCATCCTCAAGCCTCAGGTGGGATGCTGCAATTGCTTCCTGGCAGCCCCAGGATTTCCCATTCCGAACCCAGGGTGATTCCCTGCTCCTCCACTAGCCCCGTCCACGCAGGATTTGGGACAACCAGCCCCGTGGGTGCTCTGGTGCCTCTTCCATCACTGCCAGCCTCCTGTTTTCCTCCAAGACACATTTAACCGTGAGGGAACCGCTGCCGATACTTTTCTCCTCTCCTTCTCACCCTCTATCTTCTCCGCCACGAACAATGGAGGCAAGGTTTGCAGAGGGAGGTGATGTCTTTTTTTAGCCCGACTGAAATAATTAGGAGAAAAACAGGCAGGCTGTTGGGTACACGAGCCCTTCAGCAGGCCCGAAATAGAAGCAGAAAGTCTGCGAAGCTGAATGCCAGCGGAGAACAATAGCTGGAGCGTGACTAGTTGCGTTAACCAGTTCTGCCCCCCAAGACCACTTCCCAGCTGCTTCCCTTGGGGCTGAGACGAGGCACGGCCCCGAAACCTGCTGGCATGGGAGCATCGCGCCGCCCTGGGGCCGAGGGGGCCGTGCTGGTGCATGGAGATGAGCCCCAGGAGATGCACCGGGGCTTTGCTCCGTGATGGAGCCACGATGCTCGGTGCCCACACAGCACCTGCGTGGGCATCCCTCGCCTCGCTGCGTCCTGCACCCCATCCTGCTGCTCCTGTGCTGCTGTCCCCTGTCCCCATGGCACTGTCCCACCCTGCCTGACCGTGGGGAGCCTCCAATTCCAGGGACCCCTGTCCTAGTGTGGGGTCCCCTGGGGACCCTAACCTGGCTGTGGGGACACTGGCTGACCCTCAGGGACCTGTTGCACCTGCACGGTCCTTTGCTGCACCCCAGGGACTGTGGCACACCGATGGGTACCCTGTCCCACCCCATGGTCCCTGTCCCACCTCCACTCTCCATATCCCATAACCCTAGCACCCTACCCCACCCCATGCTCCATATCCCACCCCACAGACCCTCTCCCACCCCTCTGCTCCATACCCCCCCCCAGACACATCCCACCCGGGGGGGACCTGTCCCCAAAAACGACAGTCCCCTCCTCCACACCATACATCCCCCTCCCACACCCCAGATCCCACCCCACACCCCCCGTCCCACCCTAGAACCCCTCCTTCCCCATCCCCACGACCCCCTCCCACACCCCCATGCCCTTTTTTTTTCCCTCGGCTCCTCCACCGGGCGCTGCCTCCCCGCGCACCGGGGCCTGTGCCGGGCGGAGCCGTGCCGGGTTAGGGGGGGGGGATCCCCGCCTCCTCGGGGCCGCGCTCGCAGCTCCGGAAACCGGCGCTGCTGCTGCTGCTGCTGCTGCTCGCCAAGAAGTTGGTGCAGAGGACACAGCCCGGCTTGGCCCGGCTAAGCCCGGCCCGGCTAAGCCCGGCTCGGCTCGGCTCGGCTCGGCATGCCCGGCCACCCGGAGCCGCGCTGCGCAGCGGGACGCAACCGGCCGCGGAGCCCCTGAGGAGCACCCCCAGGTCCCTGCTAGCCATGGAGCAAGTGAGTAAGGGCCCTGCCGAGCCCTGCCGAGCCGTGCCGAGCTGTTCCCAGCCGTTCCCAGCCGTTCCCAGCCGGGACAGGGCTGGATGGGATGGGACGAGTTGGGTTGCGTTGGGTTGGTGGTTTGGAGCCCCTCGGTGCCTCCGCCGGCTGCCAAGCGTATGGGGCAGCCCCCGGCCCCGCTGGTCTTTAATTTTTTTTTTTGCTTAATTATTCTGATGATTATTACTTTCTGTAATTCTTCCTGGCTTTTTTTTTTTTTGCAGCCGGCGCCCCCGCTTCCAACTTTCCTCCCCTGTCGCGCTCGGGGCGGACAAGCGGCGGCAGAGCCGGGCGTGCCGGAGCCCGCAGCCTTCGCAGGGTCTGTCCTCTCCTCCTCCTCTTCTTCCTCCTTCTTTTTCTCCTCCTCCTCCTCCTCCTGCTCCTCCCGTGTCCCTGCCGGCCGTGCGCCCCCCCAGACACGCGTGGGGTTTCACGCCTGGGCGGTCCCAGCCCCACGACCCCCCCCCAATAATTGCTGCCGGTGCACAAAGGCTTCGGCGTGCGTGGAGCTGGGAGCTGCTGCCTGCCTCCCGTCCCCTTATTTCAGCTCCCAAAAATGCGGCGAGAAGGAAATCTCCTCCCCAAACAGGCAGCGGGGAGGCTGCAGAGCGACCCGACTTGGTCGGGACCGAAAGTTGTCATTATCCGCCGGCATCCGTGAAATTAATCCACGGCACAAAAACGGCGTCCAGCTGGCACCCAGCCCGAGGGGCAGGAGCGAGGAGGCTTTGGGGGGGCCGCTCGGTGAAGGAATCCTCCAGGGAGCCCTTTGGGGACAGGGCCCCAGCTGCAGCTTGCCGAGGCTCACGTGGATCCCAGCGGGTTGTGCCCATGGAGATGGTTCATCCACACAGGCCGGGGAGAAGTGGAAGTGCCACCAGGCTTGTCGGAAGGGAAGGTGGAAGGGCAGAAAAAGATTTGAGATCTGGGAAGGCGTCTGGAGATGGATTCGTCTTGTGTAGATGGCATGGGATGAGCTGGCTGCTCTTGCTTTGAACGGAGCGATTGGGACAGCGAGCCACTTCTGGGCAGCGTGTGGGACCTGTAAAAACACTGCCACGACGGGGCTGCTGGGCTTTTGTTGTTGTTTGAAGCCATGAAAAGAGTGTGGTTTTGTGGGCCCTTAAAGTGCTGGGGGAGGGAGGGAGAAAGAATCGCCGAATTGTTAAGTAAAAAGCCATCCTGTGCCCCTGCAGGATGCTGGGCTCTGCTAAGCTGTAAAACTGAAGTGTAAGCCAGGCTGTAAGAGTCAAACTCGTGCTGCACTTCTGGTGCCCATGCTAGAAATTGCAAAAACAACTTGTATGGAGTGGCTTTGGGACCCGTGCCTTTGGCCTCGGCCAGTGACAGGACAACTCAGGTCTTCCCTCGTTTACGCTGGCTCGCTTGGCTGATGTCAGTGGGTTTATTCTCGTGGATTTACACCAGCGTCGGGCATGAATCCAGCCCCAGAACATCCTGGAAAGGATATCTTAGCATTTCTTGCCTCCAGCAGAAGGAATCCCCGCAGAAAGCTGAATTGACAACAGCAAATCGTCTCTTTGTGCCGCGCTCCAATTTTAGTCATGGAATCGCAGGCAGCGGGTGCAGGGTGGACACAAAGTCCTGCTCTGATGGTGCCCTTCCCTGGCAAACCTCCCCTGGTCCTCGGAGCCTTAAGGACGCGGGACCAGAGGGCCACACAGGCAGCTGGGGCTCAGGAGACTGCTGCACGATCCCATCCCATCTCATCCTTCCTCTTCTATCAGGCTGCAAAGGGCTCTCGCAGGCAGGAGGCTCCGGGTCTGGGTGGCAGAGGCAGGCTGTGTCTCCTCCTCCTGAAGAGATCCTTGGCCTCTTGATGGGGACAAGTTGGGGTCTGGCACCCTGGGGCAGGTGGGGACTCAGAGATCCTCCCTGCGGATGCTCCAGGCTGTAGCCTTGCAGCTCGGCCTGTCCCAGGAGTGCTGGCATGAAAATAAACTCCAGCAAAACTGGCTACCGGGGCAGGTTGCTTTTTCAGAAGTAGCTGTGCCGTGCTGAGACCTGACGGTGAGCACTTCTTATCGTAAAACCACAGAAAACGGTAGTTTTCAGTCTGTAGAGAGCAGAGGCCACAGGCAGACTTATTTGGCATGTGTTTTCTTTCAGATAGCCCTTCTGCCATCTGCAGAGGGAGGGGGGAAGAATGGTAAAAATGAATCTGCCCAGCAAAAGGAACCTACAAAAAAAAAATCAAGAAGTAAAAACATTTGGGAGTAATGGCGAGCCGGGTGGCTCTTGGTTTGGAGTCGCTACTCGTACGGGTACAGCCGTGCAAAGGAGTGAGGGTGAAGTCCAGGCCAGTTGTCTAAAAATGACTTCAAAGGGTGCTCAATCAGGAGACCAACAGGTCTATATTTGTGCAGCGATTGATGTTTACTGAAATAGCAGATCACAAGTGAATACAACTTCCTGGCAACCTAAAAAGTCAACTTAAAGAAACCCGCAGTACCCCTCGTTTCCCGGAAAACTTTTTTATGCTCTATCATCCTGTATTGGGGCGCCGCTCGGTACAACTGAAACAACTTCTGCAGAGTGTGCCAAGAACGTTGTACCCCTTTCTGTGGGGTTTACTTTTACAGGAGGGCGTTTGGTTTGGTTTCTTGTGCCTGGTCTGCACCTACCTGGAGACGGGAAGCCTCTCCCCGACCTCGCTGGAGGCTGGAAGAAGTGCCCGTGCGCAGGGAATTTAATCTGTTTTTCCTCTCGTTGTGGGTGCAAGATCTGTCTTTAGAGGAACAGCTCACCCAAATGCAATCCAAGGGTGTGTTCGCTGGGAGTCTGGTGCATGAAAACAGATTTGTTAGCAAGGGTTTCCTCCGAGTTTTTGGAACTCGTCTGTACTCACTCGCTCTATCCCTGCTCCCTTCTGGCCATGGGAGTGTCCGGCTCTGACTCCTTCCGATGCACATGGGATTTCCTTGTGTTAAGAAACATGATGGCTACAGCCACGCTGGTTTGGTTTGTTTGGTTTGTTTTCTTTTTCCTCGGAGAAAAGGTTTCATTCAGCAGCTAGCCAGGACCGTTTGGGGATGCTCGGTCTCCTGCCTCTGTCACACATCCTTACTCAGAGGAAACGCATCGCGTTTTTGCAGTGGGGTTATTGTCATCACAGGCAACAGCGGTGCCGTGTCCCAGGAGGGAAGCCAAGTTTTGGGCTAACAGCGTGGCTCCTGGACGGGTGCTGGAGGATTTGGGGTTGGCCTCCTTGTAAGGGTCACGAGTTTGGCGAGGTGTTTTTGTGAGCGGCTGTGGCTCAGCTGAAGGCAGCAAGCAGTGCTCCTCTGCTTGCTCCTGGGGAAGAGCCTCACGGCAGCAGCCCCACCAGAGCCCATGTGCCGGGCCAGAAGCATCTCAGTGCAGGTGTGATGCAGTCCTGGCCCTCCAGGGCAAAGCTGTGTTGGTCACGGGAGCCTTGCAGTGTCACTGCAGCCGGTGGCAAGCGGAGAGCAAAGCAGTTGTGCGTGTTGGGACAGGTCACAGTGACTCCGTGCGAGCAGGGCAGCTCTGAGAGCAAAGCGAGACCTTGAGGAGCTTGCAGAAGTGACTGTGGGCAAAACAGGAGTGTTGGTACTAAAGGGGCACTCGGTGCGCCAGCCAGAGGGGAGAACCTTCCCCGAAAGGGGAGCAAAGAGCCACAGGGAGCAAAGGAGCAGGGGGACTCACTGCCACCCCAGCAGCATCCTCAGCAGTGGCCGAGGTCTGTGCTGTCCACTCACTGACTCTGTCCCAAAGGTTTGGCTGTCGGGGGGGAGCTGGCTGAGCTTTCCTCTTCTTTGCAGAAGTTTTCTCTGGAAGTTTTCTCCCAGGCTTTGTTCCGTGCGATCTGGTGGGGAGGGAGCACACGTGGTGGGTGCTGGGGTCTGCTCTGGGCAGGCTTTCTGAAGGCTGTCATCAGATGGATGGGAAGTGCTTTTAACGTGATTCCTTCTCCCTTCTGCTTTTCTTGGTGCCCTTGCAGGATACAAAGGAGGAGGTCTCAGAGAAACCAAAGTCAGCTCTAAACGCAGAGAAATTCGGCTGGATTAAGAAAAGCAGTGGGGGACTCCTGGGCCTGTGGAAGGATCGTTACGTCCAGCTACGGAAAACGCAGCTTGTGGTCTTTGAGGATGAGGTATGGTCACAGCTAACTGCCTTGAATAAAGGCCCTCAGTGACACACATTCCTGCATTTTTCACTCTTCCCTCCAGCCCATTCCTTTCAAAAGGACTTCTCCAGATATCTTTGGGAAGGTTAAATGCTGTGAAGAAGAGACAGCTGCTGCGTTTTAGGGTATATTATATATCATAAATATTTCAGCCAGTAAATATTTTGACAGTGCTATTGTCAAAAAAAAAAAAATATGGGGGCAGGACATCCTGTGACAAGGCAAAC